GTGTGTGAGAGAGAGAGACACACAGAGAGCAAGAGGTGTGTGTGTGTGTGTGTTTGTGTGAATGTGGGAGAGTGACACAGAGCGCGAGAGAGAGAGGTAGGGGGGAGGGGGGAGGGGGAATGGGGGAGGGGCGCAGAGGAAGAGAGTATCCTCGAAGACATAGATCATACTAGAGTGAAGGCAATGTGTGGACATGCAGCGATATGCGATGGAAGCTATGTTGACTGGCTGCTGTTATGTTCCTTCTTTTGGAGTTGATCTTCTCTTGAGCGATCCCTTCCTCTCTGCCCATTTGCCCTGACTGCAGGATTGATTTATTCTGCTCAGTGACTTGTTGGGCCCACTGCAGCAGCTCCAATTTATTTTTTGGTCACAGTTATTAGTCCTTGTGCCGTGAAATTTGCGGCCGACAGCCATGACAGTTTTTGAGGTGTACCTCTGTCCTGCGGATCTCGGAACTGTCATTTTTTTGGTCATAGTCATTTTTTTCCACTTCTTTCACCGTTCTTGAGGTGTCTGAGATTCACCGCCATTACTGAGATATTGTGACAAAAAAAAACAAAAAAACAAAAAAAAAGACATTTCCACAGGGATTTATGTGTGCAACAGCAATTTGCTGCAACCGTGTTACATTCCACTGCAGTCTTCTTTTCCCTTTTTTTCTCTTTTCTTAATTCAAATCTGGAAGTTACTTCTGCGCAATTGTCAAGATGCCAAAGTTACCGCACTTGTAGTGATGTTTTCAATTATTGAAACGAGAAAGTTACCTCTCCGGTTTTTTTTTTTTTTTTTTTTTTTTTTTTTTTCGGGTCCAGATGTGAAAGTTGCTGCAGTTGTAGTAGTCATTTTTTAACCGAAATCCGAAAGCTCAAATTACTTCTCCGGTTCTGACAATCTGTCAAGATGTGAGAGTTGCCGCATTTGTTGCCGCCCAGGTCGCAGATCTCGATTGCCGGGCGTGTAGTCGTTTTTTAATTGAAATCCGGAAGTTACTTCTCTGTATTTTTTGTTGTCTAGATGTGAAAGTTACCGCATTTTTTGTCAAATTTTCAGTTGAAAACTTGAAATCCGGACGGTACTTCTCCAAATTTGTCAAGATGTGAAAGTTACCGCACTTGGTAGTCATTTTTAAACGATTTTTTGTATTCTAATTTAAATCCGAAAGTTGCTTCTGCGTACTTGTGAAGATGTGATGTGAAAGTTACCGCACTTGTCAAGATGTGACAGTTACCCCATGTGCAGTCATGTTAATATGATATTTAATATTTGATATTAATTCTTTGTATTTGTGAAGATGTGCACTTGTCAAGATGTGAAAGTTACCCCACTTGTAGTCATATTTAAATGATTTAAAAATATATATATTTTATATTATAATCTAAATCCGAAAGTTACTTCTCCGTATTTGTGAAAATGTGAAAGTTTCCCCGAAAAAAAGAAAATGTGAAAGTTACCGCACTTGTCAAGATGTGACAGTTACCGCACTTCCAAAAAAAAAAAAAAAAAGAAAGAAAGGAAAGTTACTGGAATCCAAAGATAGGATTTTTTTTTATTTTTATTTTTTTGTGTGTGTGTGTTGTTGAAAACAGGGCGATGTTTGGACTCTGCAGGTCTATGGGGCTGAATTTGCTAATCTTTTTATGTATGGGGTTGGCAGTAATGAGACCAAAAAAAAAAGAAAAAAAAAAGAAAAAAGAAAAAAAAGAGAGAAAGAGAAAAAAAAAGAAAAAAGAAAAGAAGAAAAAAAAGAAAACAGAAAAAAAAGGAGCCCCACCTTGTCTGATAGTGGCCAATCGGATCAGCCCCCCCCCATAGTGCCAATCGGATCAGCCCCCCCCCATAGTGCCATCTAGTCCACCTTAAGAATGACCCTTGCAATGATGACCACAGAATCAGTCTGAGATTTCTGCATTTTTTTCTGAGTATCGCTGTTTGTTGGCTCGATTTGCTGAGATTTCTGTGTCTTGAGTGTCATTGATTTTTTTGTTTTACGTTTTAATAAATAATTTGGACCATGTCTCGATTTATGCATGGCATCCTTGTGCAGGGGCCGTGGTAGTCACCCATTCTGTATCATTCCACTTTTTTCAAAGGATGTCCCGAAGGACTGTCGTTGATGTTTGGCCTCTGTGTGTGTGTGCGTCCACGTCCACGTCTTTGTGTGATGATTACCATGCAGTTCTCTTTGTGTTGCAGGAGGGGTAGATCAGATATAGGGAAAGCAACAGGGGTAGGAGTGAAATTGGACACTGGACAGACTTCGTAGAAAGGCCAGGGGACGGACAAGGACAGAAGTAGAATTTGGCAAGTACCTGCTAGGGATTTTCCAGCAACTAGGATAGAGGAAGTGAGTCTGGGGTCCGGTGGCTTCCAAAAGAGCTCATCATGGTTCAGGGCCTGTACGTAGTTAGATATCAGGTTAGGTTCAGGCCCTGAGGTTGGATTGCAGACTGCAATGATGTTCCTGCCAAAAGGCACGAAGAAACTTCCAGTAGGCCTAGTGCATGGGTGGGGACTAAAGTACCCTTTTAGGGAGGGGCCGCAGGCTTATCATTCACATGATGAGCATATCAGTTGGTGGAGTGCAATGAGTAGGACGACACAATCGCCCGGCAGTCATGCTGCCTCTCCACCCAGAGTGTGAGTTCGACAGAGCTGTGGGGTGAAGCGGTAGAGCTTGAGCGTGAAGAGGACCTCCATGGCTATGGTGGAGTAGGAAATGGAGGTTGAGGGGAGAAGTACCCCAAGCTAGGCTAGGGAGAAGAGAGGAGGAAGAGAGAAGAGGTTGAGAGAGAGGAAGGAGGAGGGAACCCACATGGGAGATTTGAGTATGATTCGTCTCCACTTCCTTGGCTGGCGCTGCATCCAGAAGGACCCTCTGGGGTCACCTGGACCGACAGATTTGCCCGGCAGTCATGCTGCCTCTCCGCGCAGAGAGTGAGTTCGACAGAAGTCTGGGGTGAAGCGGTAGAGCTTGAGCATGAAGAGGACGACCTCCATGGCTATGGAGGAGTAGGCTATGGCGGTAGAGGTAGACGTACCCCAACCTAGGTTAGGGAGATGAGAGGAGGAAGAGAGTAGAGGTTGAGAGAGAGGAAGGAGGGGGGAATCCACATGGGAGATTTGCGTTTGAGTATGATCCATCTCCACTTCGTTGGCTGGCGCTGCATCTAGAAGGACCCTCTGCGGTCACCTGTGGTCTTCGACTTCATCCACGAGTGAGGCTACCTGTGGTCATCGACTTCATTCACGAGTGAGGACCTGTGGTCTTTGTCTTCATCCACGAGTGACGCTATGGCGGCAAGTGTCCGAAGAGACACATTAGTAGTTGCGTTGTCCTTTGAACATCCGCCGTGCACAGCGATGTTCTGTCATGCCGCCATAGCCTCACTCATGGATGTCCTTTGAACATCTGCTAGCTGG